AGACTAAACGACGTAGATTTCACAACAACAACAAAAAAAGTCAGGATGAATGAGGATGCATATTCGTTTGATATCAATGTTCTTCCCTTTTCTTCAGTTTATTTGTATTTTTATTAAAAAACGTAATAATAAAAAATGTTCATTGTGGTAAACGAAATAATAATTTGATCTAAATAAAAGTTTTTTTTGTTTCTTCCCGATTTGTAAAAAAGAATCCTTGCATGATAGAACAAAAAGAATATTATTTTTGAAATCTGCGTGGCGGAATTATGAAAAATCCGCTATTAAAACCAAAACGACTTTTATGAAGTTTAAATTCGCAGACCTGTGTAATTAGTGTTATTTGTTCAGTAAATAACAATATATGTCACTTAAATTGTTTTAAGTTTTTATATTAGCTTTAGGTTATACATCTGTAATCTTGAGTCTAAAGAATATGTCTATACAAATGTAGGGAAAAAGTTACAATTTGCCTAGCCAAAATTGTGACTTTTTTCTGTGACTTTATTTCCGGCTAACGTATATACTATCTCTTGTATTATACATCTGTATAGCAAAAAAAAAAAAAACAGAAGAAAAAACATATACTAATGCTCCTTTCAGCTCATTAGTTTATCTTATCGCACACAAATCATTACAGCCAATGACATATCAATTATTTACACATTTATATATATATATATTATAATAAGTTTAATTTTTATGCAGACACTTTCATTTTAAATTTACGATGACAAAAGTAATGGGGAAAACTGAGAAATATCGCATCTTTCGTTTGGAATAAATTTGACTAAATCCCCCTTTGTTAACTTTTGCCGACGTAAATTGAACTTCAGCAGGCTGCTTAGTTATTTACTTTTTAAGGAATAATCTTGCACATTTACCATCGGAAAGTTTATCGAAAGAATTTTGCGCTAGAAACATTAAAACCATAAATTTGAAGAAGCTACAACTTTGCTTCAAATGTTTAAGATTGCACCCTAAAATTGAAATCCACAATAGTACTTGATTTGATTGAAATAAAGC